GGCAACTCAAACTGATTTCATTCATAGATCGATTCCAGATTACCGAAAAGCACAAGCAAGTTGAAATGCCAGCTTAGAAGTGATATTCAGAGACTATCATATGTGTATATAACAAATGAGTATGATTAAAATAGAGCTGTATCGAAAATCATTCATCCTCAATAGCATTAACTATTTAAGTGACGTTTCACGAGAAAACCATAGATAGTTGACCTCATAGAATAATCGACTGAGATTTACTTGCTCTAAAGAACTGTATCTATGGCATTCCGTTTTCAATTAATTGTCGAATTGCAAATTGCATCAAGAATAAGCTTTTCTTTTTAAATGATTGATTTCAGTCAGTTGTATAGGTTAGACAAGGGCGATGAAATTATTATTTAACATTGAAAGCTGATGTAGCATACATAAAAATTCAATCACCTTGAATAAGAAAACGGTGCCCATTTTTATCTTCGTACTGTTCTTATCCTTATTCTTTCATTCGTTGGTTTCCACCTACATAAGCTAAAGATTGATTAACCTAGTCTTATTTTACTAAAATTAGAATTAAAACATAAATCATACAAAATACAATAAGATATTTTTTGTTTATCTTCGTGATTATATTTCAATATAAAGAATGAACAATAAAATAATTCAGTCACCTAGAAAATTTTAGATTATCTTTTTTTATAAGTTTTTAAAACTGTTGAACATCGAATTAAACTATATTAAATTAAAATGACATTAATGAAGCCTTTGGATGAACGTGTTACTCGTAAAGAATTGACATGTCTAGACAAATCGTTGAGAACGTAATTATGATCGGATCTCTCAGTTAATATCTCGTTTTAATTATTTTAAACAAAGAGAAAATGAAGAATATTATTTCGAATTCATTAAAACGATTATATCGATAATTTCCTCAATAAGATTTACAAATCTAAATTTATTTTATTTTTTCACTTATCTTATATCGATGAAAACTGTCTTGTTTTTCCCTGTTTACGCTACGGAACAATATTTGGTTAATTTACATTGGAAGATTTGAAATAAAAATACACGAGCGAGAGTTGGAACCGATCCCGCCGGACCGGACCCGTTGAGATGGTCAAACCGGCCGGTCTGTACGGGTTTAGAATTTTTTTAGATATGCCATTTTTCTTTCATAAAACATGTCGAAAACAAGTTTAAGTGTATTTATCAAAATAACCAAACAGTATTATCTAGAATTTATCAATTTTATCTTCTTCTGTTCGTACGTACCTATTTTATTTTTTAATCGAACTGTATTTTGCTTTGTGAAAAGCACAATCAAAACAACTGTTACTTGAGATGAACTTCTCAATTTATCTAGGTGATGTTTGTTAGGGACTAAATTTGAGTTTGGAGTGTCGTTCTGAGAGAAACATCAGGTTTTTTAGTAAAATTTAGGCGAAAAAATTCAAGATTCGTAGTTTAGCAATCATTTGCCGGGTAAATTGACTATTTTTTTGCGCCAGAGAAACATCACATATTCATTTCTGAGAAACCTTAAAAGCATAAACGACTATGACATGATATTTTCTCTTGAAGCTTCCTAAAATAGAAAGATAAAAAGGAAACTGAGTGGTTTTAAAGCCATTTTATTTAACCACTTAAAAATGATTTGTCAAGCTGGCCTATTTTTACCAGTCTGAAAAAGCGTTTGAAATCGACCAGTCACCGGCAGGACCGGGCTGATTCGAATATTTCTGATCGGTTCCAACTCTGAGACGAGCTACTTCAAAGACAAAAATATATTGAACAAACATATTTTAAATTAAATTGAACGATAGATGCCGAGGCATCTTAATAATATAAACTAAAATTATTAACTTTCTTTTCGGTTTAACTTTTTATTTTATTTTGAAAATCAATCAAATCAAGAATTCTCTTCAAATACTTAGGGCAGTCTAAAAGTAGTGGCGGAGGTACTTTTTTTTCTTATAGAAAGCTTGAAAAAATTTTCTTTGTTTATGAACAGATAGAGCGTCTTTCGCTCTATTTTTCTATGCTATTTGATCACTATTCATCTAATATCATAATAATAAAATTTCGATAAGAACTGTTTTTGTTGAAAGTTAGCTGGTAGTATTAGATTATAATGGGTGTGGCACTTTTGTATTCCACTTTATTATCACTTGATATGTTGTATTAAAAAAACAAAATATATCACAGGATGCAGCGTGAAAAGCTCTACAATTTATAAAGGACCACTTATTTTATAGTTGCACTTTTTGTTTTCAAAATGGACAAAACACTGAGCGACAAGATTTCGACATTGCAAAAACGAGATTGCTGTTTGGTAAAAGACGGATTCGGTTTTTTTTCTATCTCCTTTTTTTTTATAATTGTTCTTTGTAAATTGTAGAGCTTCTCACGCTGCACTTTGTAGTGTATTTTGTTTTTTAAAATAAAACATATCAGGTAATAAAAAGATGATATAGAAAAAACCGAATTTGTCTTTTACCAAAAAACAATCTCGTTTTTGTAACGTTGAAATCTTGTCGCTGAGGGTTTTGTCCATTTTGAAAACAAAAAGTGCAACTATAAAATAAGTGGTCCTTTATAAATTGTAGAGCTTTTCACGCTGCATCCTGTGGTATATTTTGTTCTTTTAATACAACATATTAAATGATAATAAAGTGGAATGTAAAAGTGCCACACCCATTATAATCTAATACTACCAGCTAACTTTCAACAAAAACAGTTCTTATCGAAATTTTATTATTATGATATTAGATGAATAGTGATCAAATAGCATGAAAAAATAGAGCGAAAGACGCTCTATCTGTTCATAAACAAAGAAAATTTTTTCAAGCTTTCTATAAGAAAGAAAGTACCTCCGCCACTACTTTTAGACTGCCCTAAGTATATAATTGAAGCACATTATTTTGCTATTCGTTTTAAAGTTCTTCGAATATCACTCACTTGATGAAGTGATGCGTTCAAACGATATATCCAGAAGCTAGATTAAATTCCGGGAACCTTTTGTTGGCGGTAACGGAGGTATATTTATATACATGTGATGTTTCCCTTCTTCGACTCATAAACAATCTGATTTCCTTGACACCTGCAACGACAGAGCTGTGATGTGTGTCGCTTTTAGGCACCCGCATCGAGATAATTGTTATATGTGTCGCTTCGTTGCTCGCATCTTTTAGGGAAAATGCCTCTAATGCAATGAAAAGGTTTTAAAAAGTGGTCAAAAATCGCTTAAAATCGTTTACGTTTTGCCGGTTTTTCATAGACTATAGTTCGGTTCTAATAGAAACCAATGAATACAACGAGAATTATTTGTTTTTCCCGTATATTTTTGGTTAGAGGAGATTAAAATTTGCGTACCAGAAATGCATTGTGATCGATTTTCTTTTAAATTTTTATCGGTTTTATATGAATAAAATGTATAGAAATCAGTTGAATTTGCGCGTTTTCTGATTATCTGTGACTAGAGTCGATTTTTTGTTTGTTGAAATCGATGAAAGATGTATTATTTGTGTCGATTTTCAATGTAATATGATTTGATTTCAATTTGAGTACAGGTGTAATTGTTTTTGATTGGATATTGAGAGAGATGAGTCATATACCTCCTACAAAAAGGTTCCCAGATTTTTAATTGAGTTTCCGGGAATTCTCTTTGAACTCATCCTATGTCTTAACTCGACCCTACTCAACACAAACCTAACTTAATCTTCAACCTATCTTCTATACATATTTCGGACCATAATGGGTTTTATTTTATGGTCCAACTCAACCCAATCCAACCCAAATAAATATAGATAGTCACTTGTAAGTTAAAATGAATTTCTTCATCCAACCAAAGTGCATAGATCTTGAAGTGAGTTGTTACCATTCGATATCCAAATTCGTTGACAGTAGTTATTTGGAAAACTGTGGATTTGAATTTCCAGGAAAATTTCCTCACAGTCAATTTATTTGAATTTCCAGGAAGGAGGAACTTGCCATGGAGTGCTATTTTTTGTTCTTTTCTTTCTACTTTCTTTTTATAAATCGCGTGCTTTTCTTCTTTTTTAATCTTAGCAAGTCTTATAATCACAAGGAATAGTTTTTATCTCATTCGTCAAAAAAATCTGTCTATGTTAATGCTATGTTGGCACAAGTTTGACATTCAGCCGTAATGTAACTGGAAACATTAAAAGAAAAAGTAATTATTCAAACAATTATTGTCATATCACTTATTTTCTAAATTTTGCACATGTATGAACTAGAAGCGTATTGTTAGCCCTCAATAAAATCAACAGATACATGTAATTGTTTTATGCACAATCTTATGTATTTTTCAAAAGAAAATTAAGAAAACTATTTTATCATAAAAACTCAAAAGATATTGACAGATGAACTTGCTTGTACTTCTTATGAAATCTGCATGAAAACAGTCACACTTATTCAGTCTTAAACTTATGGAAGAAATACTAATACAAACATATTCGTTTTCTTAAATTTTTATGTTGTTATTCATTGGTTGCAAAATTTATGTTATCAGAAAAGTTCTCAATCGTCTTATTTTTAATAAAGAAATGTTAGTTTTACTCTTCCTTTTATGTAGTAAGAAAACTAAGAATTAATCTTAATTCAAGTATCATTTTTGAACAATAAAGAGAGAAATTTTGGATTAAGTAGAATTACTTTAATATACACAATTATTTTCATGTCCAATCTCATAGTGAAAAGTCAAGTAAATTTTAGTTCCTATCTGTAACCAGCCATCTATTTGACACTATCAGCAATAGTTTTCTGTATTTAATTTCATGTTTTTAACAACTGAGTATTATATAATTTATTTGGGTGAACTTAATTCGCATTCAGTAGATTGTTTCTAGATGAAAGAAGCATTCAAGAGGTGTGTCTACTTATGAATGCACAGTATATATGTGTGTGTCTGTCCTTTCTTATTTAGTTAAATAGACAAGAAATTATAAAAGAAAACTTGATTTACATATATAGTCATTCTTATTTATTCAACAGAAATATTATCAATGTCGTTTAATTATTCTTTAATTACTAATGAAAATTTTTCTGGTGATGATTTTTTATTTTCGAATCATCGAACATCTGTTAATTGTAATACGACTCGAATTCTGGGCATATTTTTATGTATTGCTGCATTGATTGGTATTGCTTTAAATGGAACTCTATTTTACAGTTTTATACGATATAAGGCTCTTCGTTCACCACCAAACATATTTATTATGTGTATTATGGGAATGGGACTTTTTGCTTCATGTACAGTTCTTCCATTAACAGGCACATCTTTAATTTCTTGTCGATGGTTATATCAACGTGAAGGTTGTCAATTGACTGCTCTTTTTTCATTTTTCTATGCATGTTCAGGTTCGTATTTGTTCTGTGGAGCAAGTCTTAGTCGATGCTATATAATAGTTCGACCATTCCAAGTCAATCATATTAATGTAAGTAGAAAAACAAAATAAAAATAGATACATACCAAATTTTATGTCAATATGATTTTAGATGTCAAGCTGTTTGGTTTTTTCCTCTCTTGAAATTCTTTTTGGTTTTATTTGGAGTATGTTACCACTTATGGGATGGAATGAATATACAACAGAAGTTAGTGTCCATCATTGGTTTACCATAACGAATTTCAATCACATTCATTATTGAATAAAACGATTATCTGTATTTTTTCTTTTAGAACGTTCATACTTTTTGCAGTATTAATTGGTACGATCGACGTACTTCTTATATTGCATTTCTTTGGGTGTTTTTTATTGTTGTATATTGCATTCCACTTATAATTCTCACAATTGCAAATACAATTACTTTACTTGAACTAAAACGAATGCGCAAAAAAATGGAACTTAGTGTTCAAAATATATTTCATCGGAAACGAATTGAAACTGAACGACGCATTCTTATACGTAAGTTGTTTTTTTTTATATTGTTTAAAACTGTTTTAAGAAAGTATCATTTTTTTGTAACTGAATTTTCATGATATTGTATTTTGTTCACATAGGTATTATAATTACAACAGTTGGCTTCTTTTTCACATGGACACCTTATGCTGTAGCATTTTTCGTTTCGGCATTGCGACGTAAAGATTATTTCATACCACCAATGACTATTGTCTATTGTGCCTGTTTCGCCAAAACATCAGTTTTATTTATTCCAATATTTTATTTTAGCATATCGACTCAGTTTCAATTGAGGTTTGCTAATCGAGATACATTAGGTGCAGCAATAGAAATCATAAGAATAGGTGCGGCATCATCAGCCCGTATACTTATATTACCTCAAAACCATGATGAAAACTAACGAATACCTCTACAAACAAAATTCCTGAAACATAACTTACTACTGCTAAAAACTATTAATGAATGTTCTCCGTTGTTGATTAATTTTAGTGTTGTTACCTTTTAAATAAATAACCGCTTAATCTCTATACATGATGACTTAGGCAATCATGCAAAATTTGTCAGGTTTCATTTTGAAAATATGGGTTAATTATTACCGATATTTGTAAAAAACGTTTGTAGAACGTGAAGGACCTTATAAGTTCGAGAAGGAAATAGTTTATTAATAATAGCATCTATACTAAATGCAGGAAATTACTAAAGTACACAAAAGAGAATATTGTTATCATTTACATCATGTTTTAGTGACAGTCATAGAAAAAAAGATTTCTTCGAGTATTTACAAAGAAGACTCTATTTCAATCAGAATAATGATAATAACTTCCAAGTTGACTGTTATTTGTTTTACAAAATCAACAACCTTATGCACTATAAATATTTGGAAAATGTGGTTCCTTTTCATTGAGTATATCAAAAGATATCTTTTGTCAGGATGGGTAGTCATGTAGATGTTAGAGTGGATGTGCATCACAAATCCTAACGAATGAGAAAATCTTTATTTGAATTCAATTTGGTTCGATGCGACTTAATTTTTTTTCAAAATCTTCAATCGATTCAATTCGGTCCTAGTCGACTTACCTTCGAAGAAAAGACGCTATTTTTTGTCAAACAAGCTATATATCACATATGTTTTAGTTTTGTTTCGGAGAAGGCTATTTACTTTTTCTAAAAATACAATATAACTTAGATTTCATTGGATACAGTGACTCTTAAAAGTTCAATATTAATAAGCATAACAACAAGAATAATAATTGATGCTTGAAAAATTGGAATTTCATGACCAGACTACATATCGTACCAAATCGGACTAGCGAAAACTGGTCAATAGAAAAATTAGCCAAACATTTTATACTAAAAAAAAAGCGTCTTTTAATGAAAGTTTTATTTGCAAAGAATACGATAAATAAATGTTAAAAGAGTAATCAGCAGAATTCATTTTAAAGATCTCGATTTTATTACACATTTGTCTTACTTTTTTTTCTTTCATAAATGTCTATTGTTAAAAATTAAGGCCCCCACCTCAAAAAAGTCACATTTCATCAGAATCATTGGAATTGAGATAAATCCATAGGAAGATAGCCTGTCATTTGCTCTTTCATAAACGATAAAAATTTTTCTTGGATACCTCTTTTTTTTCCGAAAATTTTTCAAGATTTCTGACAACCCCTATTCAAAAAACCAGCGGTTTTTGAAAAAATCCAAAAATGTTTTTCTTTTTTTCTCAAAGTGGCAGTCGAGCGACGCATCACCACGAAAAGTCAACTATAATGCGATATAAAGTGAAATATTTTTTGTTTTTGTTTGAAAGAGCATGTCAGAATGCGGTGCCTCTGAGGGTCCTTTTTTTGATAAAGCTTTCTTATTATTATATTGAAAAGCGACTTTATAATATAAGCATGATTTTTTTGAGGGATTTTTGAGTGATTGAACTTGTGAAGCCTGTTTTCCTTCATACAGATAAGCATTAAAAAAAAGGGCCCTCAGAGGCACTGCATCCTGACATGCTCTTTCATACGAAAAAACAATGAGCCAAATTGAATGAACACCTATAGAGAATTTTTGGTGATGCGATAAGCTACTTTTCGACCCTTGTTTTGTTCCTATCTACTTAATACATCAGGATAGGAGGCTGAAAATTTTATCATAGACGTACTTTTACACCCCCAACATATCCCCAAATTTTCATGCTATCTCGATGTTCCGGAGCTGAGATTGATTTTTGAGGGGGAGGGGGGCTTAAGAGATTTTTTTTCTTTAAAACTGATCATAACAAAAGATTGTTATGAAGTTTCAATTAAATACTGATCAAAACAGAGCTAAGCCTATCAAACAGCATTTGATTTCTTTAGTATCTATGTAATTCATTTGAGTCATTTATCAGTTTCATGTAATACTGTTAATTCAATTTAATTAATGACACTCAAAGTGTAAAAAAATATATATTTCAACTTCCACTTTGATTCTTTCTTATTGGTTTCGGATCCAGGGGAAAAAATTGAATAAAGACATATTCATTCCATTGTCTCTCATGTGCATGAAAGCACCCACACCCACACCCTGCTCGGATAGTTCTTAAAATTATGAAATGACATCTTGAATTAGAGTCAAAGACTCTGTCTTTTTCTTTCAAATAAATTGGTAGCTTAAAAAAAGCCAAGAATTAGCTTAAAATAGATTAAACATAGATAAGAGTATACATTTTTGTTTTATAAATTGATAAGTGCAAGGCATCAAATCGCAGTGACAGCGTAGATGTTTTCATTATAATGAGTGTTAAAGTCTAAATGCATAAACAAATAACTCAAACTGTCATCTACACCCTTACTTTAATAGTATAATTCAAAACAGCTTAACACATAATAAGTCTAATCGATATGATAATTCCAGAAGGATGGATATCAAATTGACAAAGCTATGAAACACCAGCATGAAAATATCTGAAAGGATCTCGAGATCTAGTTCTTTTTTACACTTTCTTTACACAGAGGTGCTAAATATAAAATTGCAAACGAGTAGCACAACGTTTTAATTGTTAAATGATTTCCAAAACGTAGAAGCAAGGGTTTAGCGCAAAAAAATATTGAATGCTGTAAACACACCTCACAACGTGTAAGGAAAATAATATCAATAAATTGCATGGTCGGATAGATAATTTCGTGTTCGAATTTTAAAATAATTGTCATTCGGATTGACGCTTTGAGCGTTCGGAATGTACTTTTGGCAAATTTTTGGTGTAGGTTCAATATTTTATATGTTGTATTATTCATTTCGTTTGCCTGAATATGATTGATATTCATCGTGAAAACTTTAGTTTAAGAATGGTTAATTTTAACAGTGTTTACTAGTATGACATTATATAAAGATCAAGCAGTTATTGGTGATAAACCACCGTATATTGACAAATGTGTAGATTTACAGAAGAAAAACTTTCGTTGACTACTTTTATACATGGAGGATCATATAGACTCATAGAGATATATAATCGCCATACATGATCAGATAATATGGTAAAGTACAGAACGTGCACGATGGTACACTGACTTCGTATTCGTCTACCGACATAATTTTAAGTTAGCATTTTACTCGTAGGCATAAACTAGGAAGCTAGATTTTGAAAAAATGCATTCATCATGAAAGCTTACTTTTACATTAGAAAAGTCTTTATATAAAACTAAAGACGACTTAAATAAATTCTTCCTTATCATTAGCTCTTCATTGATTAAAGGTCTTTCCGTAAAGATGTTTTTCTTTAGTTTTTGGCATAAAGAAATCGGTTAGAACGACGTCATCCTCCATATGATATTTTCTCCTAATGTAAGTTTACCGTGGCATATTTTCAAACGAACATCAGTATATACTGAGTAAATCAAGTTCTGTGTAAGTCTAAAAAAATACCATGCAAATAAAACTACTCACTTGTAGAATAAAGCAATAAATTTCTGTATCATAATGTTTACCAAATTATTTTGATTTATGAATAGTGTCGAATACTTTGATTATGTAATTCAACACTTTAAACTAAGGAGACACATTATATTTTCTTTGTTTAATTTTAATTCTTTAGCATTTTACTAGTTTTAGTCTATAATGTAACACTCAATTGTAAAAGACGAATAAAAGGAAAAAACAGAACGAGTTAAAACAATAATGTATTCGAAGAATATTGGAACATATTCATGAACATCCATAAATGAAAGAAGAAAAATCTCGATTGTGAACTTTGCTTTTGTCATGAATACATTTAATTTAGATGAATATTTTTCAATTCATATGGTTGAATAGATAATTCAACAAGAATAACTAGGCAAGAGATTTTCTTTTATTCATTAATCTAAAAAAACGAATCATATTTTCTCATTAGTTAGCTCTTTTTCTTAAACTATCTGTCATAGTTTCATTCAGACAAATAAATCTTTTTAAAAAGAAAATTGATAAAAAGAACACTCTTTTTTTTCACCAATGATAAAAAATTAAAAACTAAAACTTAATGGAATCGAGTCTTTTCCAACATGTTCGGTTCAAAATTATTTTTTTTTTGTTTATGATATAGAGACATAGTCACAGGAAGAAGGCATTGATTGATTTGCATAAATGATAACTGCTAGCAATAAATAGCATTCATCTCATTTATTTCTTGGTTTTTTTTAATATATACGTTGTATTTTTATGAGTAGTCTGTTCTATATTTTTATGATAAGTGTGTCAAACTTGGATAATCCTTCATTATCTGCTTCCACTTGAGTAAACCCTCTTATGCGTAATTTTTTTTGTCTATAGCACACGCAATATTCGTCATAGAACATTCATTACTGAATAATGATATTCCTTTTCAAATACTGCTGAATGGTGACATGCGTTTAAAGGCATCTTCTTGAAAAATCTTCGATCATTTTGCAGTAAAAAAAGAATTAAAGAGTTGGAAAAGAGCGATCTAATACTTGGTTTACCATCATGAAAAGTATACTGTGATATAAGCAAGCACATCAATTCTCTTACAAATTGACAGAAAATTTCGATTGTGGAGAAAGAAACATTGTGAAACAAATTGATAGTATTTAAAATTTCATATCGTTTTCCAGCCTAATCCAAAATGAATCAAATCGAATCCGGATGAGAAGTTTTCTGTACGTTTCAGTTTCTTTTAAGTAAAATGACACTTACATTATTGCCTATAATTGATAATGATCTTTTCACATATATTGCAATTTTTTCGTAGAAAATCTTCGATTTTTTTATTACTACTGGAAGATGTTCTCATATACAAAAGACAATAGAAAGGGTTTTCACCCGAGTTTTCCAAGGTCTGTTCAAAAAAGTAAGTTGCAGAATGGTTTTTCAAAGTACTACATCGTATGATGAATAGATTGATTCACTCCATGAAAACAGCTTATGACCATTGAGTCTGAGATAAATTGATCAGTAGTCGCTAATGATTACTCTTAGTATATGTAACATTAGAGTGCTAATGTTGACTGCAATTTTGTGTAGTTAGTATATTAGTTTGAACAGCAGAAACGAATTACACGAATTTAGATCTATAGAATGTGTTCGGTTAGCAAAATACTTGGACATGATCTAGAGTAGGAACTTCCTTGTAAATCGAATGTGCATGAACCATGCTAAGTCGATTGATGATGCTTGTTTTCAATTTTATTCTGATTTTTAGTTACTAGAACAATATTTCAAAAATGTTGTTCTAATGACTTGAAACACATTAAAACCCAAAACAAAGATCATCACTCGAATTCCTGTAGTTCATTACCTCCATGTTGACCGTTTTTGCGACGATTTAAAGCAAATCATTCGAAACAGGGGGAGAAGGTCTCTGGCTTGGAACCGTATAGCAATATAAGCGTTCCATAACTTAATCGAGCTTGATTTATACTTTCAACTACAAAATGACCACAGCATAAATTCAAGGACAAATCTTTTTTGGCAAATTGTTCTCAAGATCTTCAGCAAAATACTCATCTGATGCGCCTACATTCGAGTTAATCAAATTTGGCAGCTCCGTCGTCTCTAGAAAACTCTTTCCAACGGGTGAAGATCGTAGTTCGCCAATTTCGTCATCTCAAAAGTTATGTCGATAATCGCAACGTCGCTTTTACTTTCAAATCGATAGTAGTAGATGATGTCAGTTCTGCTAAAAAACAAGGACACAATACATCGAAAAAAGGACTAGACACTTTTACATAACTCGTATGAATTAGATTAATAAATTTTATGTTAGCACCATTTATTTTGAATGTAACACACAATTGAGATTTAATAGTTAGAAATGGTAGGTTAATGGAAATATTGAAGCTATAAGTTGGTACTTTTAATGTTTTTATTCCATCATCGATTCGTTTTTGAGTTTAGAATCGAAGTATATAATATAAAATAATACATGTAGAATGTCTTAATTAAGAGTTATTCTAATTTAAACCTACATTGTTAAGATTAGAACCATAATCCTATTTACAATGTTGAAGATGTAAATGAATAGCAGCAGTTGAAAACGATCGCCCACAATGCTGACACGTGACTAGTTGTAGATTCGGTGCTTCAGGAAGTGTATTCTTAATCTCGTAGCGAGGCAAATTTACATCATCTTTAAATAATTTCATTTTGATTGATTTATTATGTAAGAGCATTGGAAACACAACTTACTGGGAGTACCAGAAGACGATTTACATGATGCAGGTCGACGTAAATTTTCTGGTAATTTTGCATTAGCAATATGCCATCTTAATAGGCATGCTTGTTCATGTACGTTAATGTATTCCCGTTTATATTTGTGACCACAGATATGACAGAGTACCGATTCTGTCATAGTTGTTCTATTAGAACTTCCGAATTATAAAAGATAATTAAGTTACTATAAATACTTCAGTTTGATAAACATTTTTCTTATGTAATGTGCTCATTTGTTTTTACATAAAACTCTTTACGTTGTATATTACTCTTATTTTCTAATTTTTACTATCGAGCTGTATTACTAGATAGTATCAATAAATTTGTTCCTTCATATTTATTTACTAATTGTCTATTTCATCACGGTTTGTATCTCAATTAATGTTTAAGCTAACGTACAGAGCTAATGGTTAAGCTTAGACTCTCGTTTCACTACTATTAACTATATTGGGTAATAATGATAAATTTAATCGATTGTTTGAGACATAAAGAGTTATTAATTGTTTCTTTTCGATGAACCTATGTAAAATTTATGAGATTGTGAGTGTGGATGTGCATGTAAGCCTTCTCTTCATGCGCATATGTGTTCACTGGCCCACACGCAACATATACCCACTCTCCACATCCAACATAACAATCGTTATTGATTTGTTTCTCATACTGATGATCAATCGCTCATTCAATATCAAATCTTGAAAATTAAACAACACATAGACTAGAAAGTTTAAAACAATTTGAAAACATCCTATAAGAAAATTTTCTATAAAATGTAAAATATTGAATAATTTTATAAAAAACTCAAGCTTAATTTTTCATATTAATTTTACTTCAAGTTCTAGAGTCTCATATCTATAAATTGGGCCAATCGTATTAGAGAAAAATTCCTAAAGTTCTGAATTGAAGTTAGAATATTTTAGAGATACTTACTTTATATGAGATAAACGGTTGTTATTTTCGATGCTCAATTGATTTACTACTGAAAAATTTAAGAGAGTGATTCTTATATATTATATTCATTTATAACAAAAAATAATATAAAGCGTATGACTTTTATAATTTTTTTCTTATGTAACGAACGAGAAAAAAACATAAAAAACTTGTGATTTTTCTCTATGGCAACAAACTATAGAATAATAAATTGTTGCTTTGTCGCCTTTTTTATTGCTAATAATAGGCAGAACGCAACATTGTTTGAATTGAAGAATGTTAACAAACGTAGCTAAAGTGATTGTGAAGTATTGTATCGAAATGTTGAAGTTTTAGTGTACAATAAGCTGATCAAGTAAGAAGGCAATTTAAGTTATGATAGAGAATATTTATCACATCTTCTAGTATAATAATTTGAAGCATTATTATCATGAAACAAAAAAAAAACTTTGAGGATCAATATAAATATTTATAACTAATGTCATCATGGCAATATTTTTCTTATTCCTGATGATAATAAGTGATCTTCAAACTACGTAGTTGAAGAAAAGAAGACAACATTTTAATCCTTTAATAGTCTTCTGGTTTCAGATTCAGATTGAAAGGTTGTTTTTTTTCCAGTGAGAGCAAAACTTACTATAGTTAACCTTATTTTAAAACGTAACAAGTGTTAAAAAATTGAAATTATGATTCATTTTATGCACACATGAGGGTGTGGGTGTTAATCTTCCCTTCATTCTTGCTCATACCCACACCCACACCCACACCCACACCTTGTTTCGATCTTCATGTAACCAGGAGGAACACTATATTCATCTTTATTCGGTTTCTACTGAAAAAGCATGTTCTATGGCATTAGGAAAGGAAGCTGTTCATACTTTTGCTTGGTCAGACATGAAAACAAGTCTCTATTTTGAAACTCCTACATCAAAAATAGGCCAAGTTGATGAAAATTATACGAATGAATGGCATGTCGTAGTTCAATATTGTCAAGAGGAACAAGATACTACTATATGTCTTATAAATATAAAAAAACTCGATTTCTTAGGACATAGTGATAGTCTCCATTCAATTCCAATGCTTGGTTGGTCAACATTAGTGAGGGTAGAGATCTTCTCTTCACCTGCATCCAGACCCTTATCAAATCAAAGATCAACGCATTACCACCATCTTCATCTTAATCTTTACATGTTTCTGGCGAAATCCTAAACAAGACAGCAATGCTTGGCACTGACCATAACAATCAATAAATGTGACTAGTTTCCTTCAACTGTTTATTATTTGTACAGATCTATTCATATGTAAGAAACAAATTGATATGGAAAATGCAGATTTCAACTGGAAAACAAACAATTAGCTATCAAATTGACAGCACACGACGAGAAGAGAAGTTTCAATTATATACAAGATTCACTCCAAGTCTAATGTGCAATATTATGCAAAGTATCAAAAAACGTCCAACGAAAAACCCAAAGATCAACTATAATTGGAGTATAGTATACATCGTTGATCTAAGCTAGCTAATGTATGTATTAATAATGCGCGACTATTTCGACATCACTTTCGGCTAAAAACTATTTGCTGTCGCAACCAACTCTGATGATCAATAATTTCAATTTCATTGATATGTATTTATTGAATTGCAAGTGTTCTCTCCAACTCTCTGATTTGTTGTTGGACGTATCGTCGTTGCGCTTGGAGTATATTGTATTGTCCTGTATTTACAGGCGTATTACGTAAATATCTATTATATCGAGATTGTCGATTCCTAAGCCGAATTAGTCTTGTCAATAATTCAGCCGGATTCACATTCACTAGATTGACTATGGACAGGTGGCGATTATATTCTTGAGTCGTTTGAGAAACTCTGTCAAATCCGTTGGCACAGTCAATGAATTGTTTATCGATTCGAGCTATAAAAGCTTTCGCTTTATCGATGAGTCGAAGCGTTGTGGCGAACACATTGATATTAACGTCACTATCTACGATGTTCGTCGTTTGATTTCGTATACATTGAGTTGAAAATGAGCTTTGTGCCGGTTTGAAGCGCATTCGGCATCCAAAACACTGTAGTAGTGACATAACAGTATAATTTGTGAAAATGAACATATTCGAGCATTAGTATGGCTGCTTTTATACACTAAAGAATTCTGAATATGAAACGAACTTTGTCAACTTGAAATTTCCTATGTGTCATGAAATATTATCAAGTATGACAAGCCAATAAAAAAAAAAGATTGAATGACACTTCGAATTTTGATTTTTCCTAGGTGTAATTTAAGCGACTAATGGAATGAAGCCTTTGTTTACGACTCATATTTCTTTTGCTTTGTAAGATTAATAAATAATAAAACTCGCTCGTGTCATTCTGGATGACTCACTGAAAGGCATGAATGCTGTGATCGATTTTGTTGTTCTGAATTCTTTTTTGGAAAAAGACAAAAGGCAAGAAACCTTGTTGATTAAAACCAATAACAGTCGGATACATTTCAGTTAAGAATCTCAATGCCTTGTTAACTAACAATCGATTCTAGTGATATAGTTCAACAGATTTTGCATACTAAAAAATCAGTAATTTTGAAGAAATTGTGATTAAACAGTTCAGAAAACTGTATGTCACTACCCTGTAGATCTATTCAAGTTTCAAAATGGTTAATCTGAAATCAACAAAATAGTTAGAAAGGCCAAATAAATCTTTTTGATATTGAAACCATCGATCAATTTCATTTCGTTATCAGTTGACCATTTAACTATCAAGTTAACATGAATTGTCTATGACACATGTGAGTATAAGAATAGATGTGTACGATGCGAGTAATGTTGTGTTATTTTTGCAGTTCATTTTAGGTTCAGGTGAGGACGTGGGTGATGTGAAGATGCAGATCCATATACACATAAATTGTTGGATTAGTATATAATGAATCGAACATATTATTTCGTCAGAAAAACTTTATCAAACCAAAACTCAGCTCGTGGGGATGTGAGTTAGCATCTTCTCTCCGTCCACACCCACATCCAAATCAACATATACCAAAATGTAGAAATTTCTCCTGACCAATTCATAAGATAATATAGTTGTAACTCAATAACAACATCAATTGAGTAATCTTCTAAGGGCATAAGTGTCCTTCTGCTTCTCTCAATTATCAAGAAAATAAATATTATAATATTTGAATTTTCTCTACTCTTTTAGTATGCCAACGTGGAAAAATGAGTCATCTTAAAGAGATCAACCGATTGCCTGAATTATTTGAAGGAACGGTATTTATATTTTATGTACTATCGGGAAAAGAACGCAAAAAGGAGTTTTGTTTGCGAGTTGTTTTTTTTTTTGTTGATATTAAGGCAAATAAATTGGTATCGAATAGAAAAAATTGATAATTACTCATTATTTCTATCATATCTACATATTATCTGAACTATTTTGATGTTTTTTATAAAAATATTTGATGTAATTTAAGAGAAAGCCTTTCTTTATCAAAAAATTGAAGAATATCTTCGTGATAGAGTTATTTTTATGATTACATAGTATATTAATTCATTTCATGGCATGTGTAAGAAGTATTTCTAAAAGAACAAAAAAGATTTTTTTTGAAATGCAATTATTCATAAATAAATAGCGCATTTCTTTTACTTAATTCTTATCGATTACTGATTCATGCGTATACTTTTATTCGAAACATTGGATGTTCTCGTTCTTCTATTATGCTGTCATTGTATTTATTTTTATTTTTCGATTAAGCAAACGAACAGAAAAACCTGTTTGCCTTCATTCGCTTGTTACTTATTTTGCATTCTATATCGAAAATAAATATCTATTAATTACATATTGAGTCAGGCAACAAGCAAAAAAAATATCATTGATTATTTATAATATAATTTATCGTCTACAGATTTGTTTTTCCAATTAGTTAGATCATTGCTTATGTTTATGATTGTAAACACACATGAAAATGACTAACTAACGATCATTTTAGTTGATTTATAATAACACTTAAATGAATATTGAGTTGTCGTAGCAATTGAATACTTTTCTTTCTATAAAAATCATTGATGAATTATTCGTATTTTTAAGATTATTTAAATCTAGTCGATTAGCATGAATTTATCTAAGTTTGAATATCTTCCATCTGAATTAATCGTAGAAAGAAGTGATTCTTTAGATGGATGCGATCTTTATTATGCATTTAATCCACGTATTAATACAATACTCGAGTTAGTTTTATTTCAAAACGTAATAGAAAAAGAATTTATTTCATTTTCATGTATGTTCAGTCAACAATGTCATCGGCGTTGCGTAAGTTTTATTCATATATCAAAAAGAAAATTTGATTTATATTGCAATCGTATTCTACGATACATCAGCACTCGTATTGTCTCGTTAACACTATGTGGCGATAATTCATCAATACCTGGTCAACTTGCATTATTCTTAACTCTATTTAACTCTCTAGCGAATGTATTTACCAAACTTGAATCATTCAAATTAATTGATTATACTAAATCAGATGTAGAATTTTTTTTATCTCATTTTCCTATGTTGACTCAACTAAAATGTCTATCGAAAGGAATATAAACGTTTAATGCCATTTGCTATAAATCGAATTGAATTATTCAATGAAAATGTGATACTACCTATTTCATTGCATAGTTTAGCTTTTCCGTATGAAGTTTCCAATGGATGGATTCAAATATTGAATATAACAATATCATTCATAGAACAATTACATGTTCATCTTATTCATATGAATGTGTTGTCTTCGTTTTTACAAAGATTTCCTTATTTGAAACGTTTAACAGCTGTTATAACTGGTATAAATCAAAATGCTTTACAAATAGGAAATATTTTTCAATCTAATGTTATATTACATAGGTAACAATATTTGAACGTAAATATTACACAACATGTAAGTATATAATTTGTTTTTCTAAAAATATTCAAAGATTTATAAGTGAAATTTTGTATTTCTATTTATTCTAGGTAATTTTTGATGATTTTGCTCAGCTTTTCAAAAGTTTGACTGAACTTCATTCATTACCACTTGAAGTACTCAACCTTAAATTGGATTTTTTGCAAGCTCATCGCTGGGGAAGTTTTGCCATCAAAACCTTCTTCATTTCGCTTTGATTTAACCATGACATTATCGATCAATCCTGATCATCTGGAATTATTAGAACCGTTCAAAAGTTAATATTGGATATCAGGAGGTTGGTTTGTTCAATGTCGGTTACGAGATCGTGGTCGTTTTTTTCGTTTATCTACTATTCAATCGCCTATAATCACTATTCTCTATTGGCCAGATGGTGAGGTATTACTTGACTCAACAGCTATAACCGTATATCCGAATGTCACTCATATTGAACTATGGTGGAATTTATTGAAATCAGCTCAAGCAATATGTCTTCATGTACGTTCTATTCAATTGTATGGTTCTGGTAATTATAAAGATGTACCTGTTCATCCTAATATTTTTGTTATTTTACAAAATCCATTAATTGAATATATCATTATTAATGATAATCTACCAATTATTCATATTAGATTTGCATCGATTCTCAGTAAATCATCAAATAATATTCAAACATTGACTTGATCGGCTAGTTAGTTACTATTAATGTTAGAAGATAAAAAATTTGAGTGGATTTGTTTATTAAAAACAATACGTATTCGAAAGTTAATTGTTAATAGTGATGATTATGTTGTGTCTAATAAGAATCTAATTGCTTTTTGTCGAACATTTATTAATTTACAGGAAATAACAATGAAGATGGAATCAAAAAAAGATTTATTTTTTCTTTTAAACACTTGAAAATTTAACAATGGCGAATATTGAATTATCTAGCATTGCTCTCGATAATATTACTAATAATATGACATTGATTGAACAGAATACAATACTTGTTGATTTTGTCATCCATAAACAAGTTATTTCATTAGATACTTGCCGATTAATTTTATGGATTGGCTCACGTCAGGCTTCAAATCTTCAACGAACAAAAAATGATCTATATTTACAACATCCCATTATTTATCAAAATATGTAATAGATTTCATACTTATTGACTAAATAATTCTGAATTTATCCTATTTAGTGTATTTTATAAAAGAATATAGAAACATTCTGTATGTGATTTTTATTCTTCAACAATAATTGAATAGTTACCTGTTTAATTTTACTAAGTAAAGCAATAAAGTACAGACTTGTTTCTATGAAAAGTTTTTTGATTAATAAAATAAATTTGTACATATGCTTGTTCAATCGAGTTTTGAAGCATTAAAGGCTATCACAGATATTTCTAAACTTTGGAGTGCGGATGTGAGTGTGAGTGTGAGTGTGAGTTGGTGGGATGTGGGTGTGTGTGTGATGGAGTATGGGTGTTGGTCTCCTCTAAAATCGTACTTATACCCACACCCACCATCCATACCCTGCGCGATCAAAAATCGTATGCATAATAAATGCCTAGAAAAAAAGGATAATAAAACGTCCAAAAAACCATCTGTAATATTTTACTCAATAAAAAGTCAAGAAAATACGACTTCTAGAAATCATAGATTCCCAGGTATTTTCTGCAATCAAAATACATCAAAAGGATTGCTTCACTGAGCTCTACAAACTCTGGCAGTTTCACTTTGATAGGAGATACTTTTGTATAACATAACAGAAGTCCTATGGGAATATTCAAAGTTACTTTTTTTGCCAATCCACACCAAAATCAATAGAAGAAAACGATTGCTGTTGTATCAATACAACGGCGCTGCAATTCACCGATATATTTGACCTNACCGACAGGTAATTCCCCCGTCACAGACCGTTACAGATATCTTAATTAATTAATTAATTATTATCTATTTAACTAATTAACCGTCACAGACCGTGACAGAGAAACTGTAGTTCTAAAGCATCAGATAAACGGTTAGCTACAAATATATTGCAAAGAAATGGAACAAAACGATTTCCATTTAATTAGCAACAACAGATCCATCGTGTTTCACATTTTTAATCTCGCAAGGGATTGCGCTAACAGCTTTTTTTTTGTATATTCTATTGAAGCACAAGTATATTCCACCATTTTGTCTATAATTTTTTAAATGAATTTTTTTATCATTCTGATACATTGACCTTTTCTTCTATGACTATTTGTTTAGTATCAAGTTAGTAGATGATTCTACATATTGTTATATCTAGTCATTTCTTTACAAATTAATCCTATAGGAAATTTTGCAAAAAATGACAACAAACAGTAAAAATATCCTATGTTTGGGTATACTAGAAATATTATTTCCACATCTCATAATTTTTGACTATTGACATATGTATGTTTCATCGTGATTTACTCATGCATGATGCAAAATGATCAAATGAGACTTCCTCCTATTATATTATTTTGGCTTTGGGAAATCAGATAAGAGACTATTCAATTGATTTCTGTTATTGAGAATTTCAATAAATACAAATCCTGATTTGGATTCTTCAATGCGAGATTCTTGCAGGTGAAAGTGATTGTATGTGTTCGATATTAATAGTGTGATTTCAAAGTCAATGTGGATGTAACGAAAAAATCAGAATCTTAATACTATCATTCACACAATTAACTCATTGACAAGACCAACACTCTATCAAGAGCTTTCTTCATGAACTAAATGAAAGTTATTATGTCTAGTACGTGCTCTAGCAAATCGAACACTCGAACAAGATCATTTATTTTATTGAATACTTAAACATTAATTAGGCTAAAAATAGTTTACACAATGGCTAGCGAATAAGGCCATTACAGACAATCTTGCTGAGACAGTTCTTCGTATCTTCATTGACTGAATATGCCATCATTGGATTAAGACAACGAGAAATATTAATAATATGTACGCCGAACTTGTCCGCTATCTGTTGCATTGCAGTTGGAGTATGAGATGCAAATGATAAATAGAAAATATAGAAATATGTAGAAGATTTTTTTGGCAAAAAAGCGGTATCAAATCTTACTTACACTTCATTTTCACGATAGAACGTGATTAAAAGTCTCTATCTATTATTTCTTGCATATTTTGCTGATGATAGTTGATATATGAGATCGATTTTCCTTTTTTTTATATTCTTCTTATGAAAACATTTGAGGAAAACTTCGTGTTTTTGAGTAAAAACCGATTATAAAAAGGTTTTGATCGGTACTATGGTCTTGAAAATCATTTAAACAGAATCCATTCGATTGAAACAAGAGCGAGTGTGAGTGAAGAAAAGATGCAGCTTTACACCGGCATCCCACACTTCACATAGAATGAACTTGGCTTCGATGACATGACTATGATCATTGAACTCATAGGGTGCTGCTCAGATTCAGCCGTCTACTACTATTAAGATGGTTACTACTTGAGGACAAACGAATGCCATAATGCCAGCCGTTGTGTATCACTCATGCTCTACAGTGTTTGGATGAATATCGATGAACAATTTTCTTGCAAATGTCAAATCTATATGAAATGCAACAATTAGTTTACCTTTATATATCGATCGCTGATAAAAGTCAGAGGTACGACTCTATGGCATGTATCTCGATCTCTTAATCAACAAGATGGCAATTATGCTTGCAAGATAGTAAACAACTTGAACATTAAACGATAATTAAGAGAAAATAGACATGCAGACGCATATCAACTGAAATTATTATGAAACAAATAAAATGAATGGCAAAGTCAGACATGTATGAGAGTAAAAATTAAGATGAGCTATCACGTTTTAGCAGTTGCTTAATGTACTTTTCTCTGTCTTTCGACTATGCATTCACAAACAACAACATATCGCGGTCGTTGAGTCGAATGAGTAACAGTAACGGTTATTTTGTAACCTTCATTGTATACACTAAGATGATAAAGATAATGACCATTTATAAAGAAGACAGTGCTAAAACATATTGATTAAAGTTGATGAATTTGTTAATGTTGGTTGTACACTCAAGATTGCAACAGTATCAAAAGAAAAAGAAATAAAGTGTTCATCAAGACGATCGATGCTACGTTAGGTCTGATAAAAACTTGAAATATTCCAGTTAGATGCAGCCGTACTAATAATCGTAAACAAGAATATCACAGTGACAGCAACAATCAACAATTGAATACTTCTCGTAGTAAATGATGGACAAACTTCGGAATGCATGGAATCTAATTCTCTATGTTGACTTTTAGAAAAGTGCAACGTGAGAAAAAAAAACAAGTTTATATATCCATATGTGTGTTTGTTAATATAAAAATCGTATGGCTCTAAAATTGTTTTCATACAAATCATATTATTCTCTTCAATAGTCTACTACTATCCGGCTAACAGGACAATTCTTGTGATCAATTTTTCAGAATAGATACAACTCGTTGAGAGAGTTGTAAAATGATTACAAAATACTTCAATGATCTTCATTCTACGCGAATATGTTGTGCAGTTCTAATCAAATTCTTAGATTCTACAAGATATTACAAGAGTAAAAGATAGATAAACGAACAGTGTGACACACTCATAGTTCGAAAATCGATAAATATTTTGAGTTTTTCAATCCATCATTTTGTATTATGTCACAAAAAGATTATGTTTTTAGACTTTACAGGACAGTCATTAGAGATGCCCACATTTTAAATTATCTAGGTGAATTTTTAATATAATTCTAGCAAATTCAGTCCTAATACCGCGTGATTCAACGAAGGCAGCTATTTTTTATTTTCTCCGAAGAACTTCGAATCGTTCGAGATGATTTTTTCAGTAAAATCGCAACAAATGAAGATGATTTCTTCTTTCGGCAGAAAAATAGTAAATAATAAGTTTATTGATTTATGGTTTTTTGTCAACATAATATATGAGAAATTATTGATTTTTCCCGCAGGAAACTGCAGTTCAACTCGTGCCTATCATTAATTCTTGAGTTACGAGATTCAATAGAAATCGTTGATATCACCTATTATAACTTCATTCAGCTTGAGATATTCTGGATAGAACTGTTCATAAAAAGAATTTTAACTTAGAAAAGAAAATAAAATCAACATTTTATACAATAGAATAACTTAGTTCTGTTTACTTTGATAAAAAAAAATGACTGCATTAGTAAGAAGAGCATTGAAGAATAAATACATTTTCTTATCTGTTGCTTTTATTACTATTAATATCAGTAGAAATATAAATTTTACACTTTTATCATTTTCAAGTGAGTTTTAAACATGACGAGTTATTCGATCGAACAAAAACTTAGTACAAGTAAGTAATAAATTAGTAAATGTATAATAATCAGTTATAGATTTTATTCTAAGCACAATAGAAGATCTTTCAGATAATTAAAAATTTTATTTATTTAACATTTTAAATATATTTAATTTCATTAATATTCTTTTTCTTTTATATTAGCTATTGAGAATAATGAAAAAATAATAAATGAAACTATTCAAGAAATTTATCAATTATTCGAACAATTACGACAATCATTAATAAATTTTGGAAATACTAATAAAATATTTTCATTAGAATTCATCTTCAATGATCTCAATCAGATTTTTTGTCGATTAGTCGATCGAAAATTTTATAGTGCTATGGATGTTATCAATTTATATGAAATAATTTTAAAAAATTATCTTGATCTAATTGATACTAATCAATTTATTGATATTATTGCTCATCGTTATGCAAATAAAAATAATATTGTATTTAGTTCATTCTTTGAATCATTAGCTCAAGAGGATACATTAGATGCAGTTCGTAAAATATCATTTAAAGCTCGTCAACAGAAATATTATCGTATACTTGATCAAATAAGTTCATCAAAAAGAATTAATTCTTTTCTTAAAAATGAACTATCAATATCATCAAATAATATTCTACGAATCGTTGCTAATTTTTGTGGATTAATATTAATTATGGTTTTAAGAATTTTAAATGGTTTAAATATGAAATTATTAGATATAGAATTAAGAAAATATCAAAATACTCTTTTTATTCCATTTATAACATTTATTGATAAACATATTGTATACAATCAATCTTCACAAAATAATATTTTAATTAAAGAAATATTAGAATTTCTTAATAGAACAAGTGATCAAACATTAACAATTCCGATATTTATTAATGCTAATTGTTCACAAGCATGTTTACGTTGGTTATCATTTTCATATTTGAATGCTTATGAATATGCGAATATTCTACGTATTATATATAATATTGCACGTCATGATGAAGGAGTAGTTATACTCAATAAATGTCAATGTCATAAGATTTTAATACAATTCAACACAGAAATATTGACTAGAAAAATCGATTTTATTATTGATAAAAAATGGTATGAAGATCTTCAGCTAATCTATTTTATGATATTAATTTTAATTGTTGATTCAAATGAACTTATCACTGAAAGTACTAATTGGTTTATAGCATATCGCTTATCACCAGCAATTTTTGATGGTATACTTTCACGTACATATCGACATCAAAAATTTCATATATCAGAATTGATGATTATTCTAATGAGACTATGTACAAATGATAATTTTATTCATTGTATTTCTCATAAACAGTATTTTACATTTCCACACGATGTGCTTAATGTATTAAACTTTTTATTACATTGTGTTGCAATCGAAAGATTTGATTTTAGTGTTCTTTCTTTGGATGTTTTGACAGTAATGGCTCTAGCAAATATTTTATGGAGTATGTCATTTCATGATCGATATAAAAATACTTTAATTGAAAATATTCAAATTATAAATAGACTCATAGAATTTGAAACAAGTGATATAATTGAGAAAATATTACCTAATATATATATACCTCGTCATATGTCATCATTAAAAAGATCGATTGATGGTATTTGGCAAAATTTACATCCTTCATTACCTGCAAATCAAGAAATTAATTCTTTAACAAAAATAAAATCTATTTGCTCACTAATGATTAGTTACTCTCATATTGATATTGATTTTTGTCGACAATTATATAATGTATTGAGTATATTTCCGGAATTATCAATATCTGTTGATTTCAACAATTCGAAATATTTATGGAAAGAAATATCACAAACTATTGAACAAACCGATCTTGTTCTTTTTATTATATCAAATAATTTTTTTAATAGTAAATCATGTCGTCAAGAATTAATCTATGTTACAAGTACATTAAAAAAGCCATTTATTTCAGTCTTTATCAATGGTAATTATCAAGTAACTGGATGGCTTAAGAGTCAAATAAGCGAATCAAAATATATTCATTTTGAAGAAAAAGATTTCTTAGATACTTGTAATGAATTATTATCATTGATCAAACAAAGTCTTTCCATAAATATGAGTTTAGTAAAAAATACATCTGACATTAAACAATGGAATGAAAAAGAAGTTAAACAATGGTTTAATAATAATAATCTTATGTCTGAATTGCATGATTTTTATCAATTTCAGAATGGTAATGAACTATTATTGTATACACAAGCAATATTGACATTTTCATGGACAAAAGAATATGATAGAATAAAAATAAGATTTGAAGAAAAATTCAAACAACAACAACAACAACAACAATATCTTTCTCCACATGAATTTTTAAAATTTATCAATGCATTAAAACATTTGAAGAACAAAAATCTTAGCTCAATTTAAATTTTATCATGTCTTTATTTTTCAAGAACTAAACTAATCTTTATTCATTTTTTTCGTCGATTTCATTGTAGAATAATAGTTTTTATGATTTCTCTCTTAGACAGCTGATTGATTACACTTTATTCTTTCTTAATAAATGTTGACTAATTAAATCATGATTTTTAATAGTCGATTCCACATAAATTTGATTTCGACACTAATAAAAATGAGATCTATGAAATTGGCTTCAAGTACTGAATGAATATTAACTTATGATATCAGATAGGTGTATAACGATATGAGTGAAGACTTTTCGGAGAATGAGATAAATTCGCATATATCTTATTTAATAATTTTCTTTAATTTCTTTGAAAAACGGTTTAAATGACTCGGCTAGACCAGGTTCTATCAAACTATATATATGATACATCGAGTTTTCTCTACTTTTTCAAATAGAATGATTCTACATGCAACTCACTTCTGTCCTTTGTTGTTGGCTCACTCTTTGTGCAGTAAATAGAACGAAGCGCATGATATATTTCCCTACTTTCTACATTTTGTTATATCATGTTAACAATTATTTGTATCAATATGGAGCGTTGCGTTTTAGTTGTTCATGCTGAGCGTTCAACTAGACTCAAATAGACGTTACAACAGAGCTCTTTTATTTTTTCTGACTAGATCTTTTGAACAGAAAAGTCCTTAGCGATCTACTAGATGATTCATTGTTGAGTTTCTTTATTCTTGTCTGTTGCAAACACATCTCCTGAATCACTAGATACTTTAACCAATACATCCATGCGCTTGCTTTAATTTTCATTGGGACTCCACTGCAATGATGACGTCTCTCAATCAAATTTATCCAAGTACAATGCATACAAATTACATGTGTGTAAAAAGAATTACTTTCACGCCTTAGCGCAATCTCCTATCTATATTGAGTATCGAGAGAGACAAAAAAAAAACAGAAAAGTCTATCGATTAAATCCGTCCAACCTCGATGTCTTATTCTTTCAAGGAGAACAAAAAAAAAGATTTTATTCCATGGTTTTTCTGCATGCATAGTGTTATTTAATCGACATTCTTTCTATCCTTTAACTCTTGCTGTATTTTACATAGAAACACAACGGAAAAGATACAAAGTATTCCCATTCAATCAATCATCTCTGAGTCTGTTATGCTGTTGAAAACGTACAAACAACAAGCACATTTCCTATCTGTTTCGTCTTATCGGTGCATTCCTCATTGAAATATAATTGAAAATACAAGAAATTTTCAATCGAACAATCGATAGTTGACTGCGTTCAGCTTAATTACAGCACATGAACAAGACCAATTTTTTTTCTTGTGAATGATTCACCTTACTATTGAGACAAAACTTTTTCTTTTCTGCATAGTCTGGTTGTGTACTTCTTCATACACAAAATTAAAAAGTGAAACTTACACATTAAATGTTTCACAGGTAATTAACTTTATGTTTGCCAAGGTATAGAGAAAAAAGTTTTCTCTCTGTATAGGCTGTCTGTATTTTTTTTATTGACAAAATAAAAGAAAGGAGCCTATAATAAGATTCTATCGATCACAGGTTAATAGCTTTATGTCGTGCAAGGCATAGAGAAAAAGAAATTTGTCTTCTTTGCATGGACGGCCTTCATTTTTTGATAGATAGAATTAAATCGTGGAGCCTGCAGAATAAATGATTCACAGGTTAATAGCTTTACTTTTTCCTAGGTATCGAGAAAAGAAATATTTTTTCTCTCTCTATGCGCTGCCTGTATTTTTTTTCATAGATAAAATAAAAGTGAGAAGCCTATAGATTATATCAGTCACAGGTGAATAGCTCTCTTTCTCCCAAAGTATAGAAACAAAATTTATTTTTTCTCTTGACATTCTGCCTGTATTTTTTCATAGACAAGCTTAAAAAGTACCACATATACATTAGATTGTTCACAGGTAACTAGCTTTATTTTTCTCTAGATATTGAATAGGGATGGAATTTTTACCTTTATTTCACTTCGAAAAAGTAAACTAAATTAAGTAATATCATATGGTTAAGTTTATAACTCATTTATTATTCCATTATCATCGAGTGATAACGTTGCTATGTATATAAGTTTATTAAAAATCTTTTCTTTAATTATTAGTGAAAAATAAAACGAAAGAAAATTGAAGAATCAATGTTTTTTTTTATAAGTTGATATTTCAAAGTCTGACTATTTTTCATGTACTGGAGGTAACATTTTACATAAATTTTATTTGAATAAAGTTGAGCTAAATAAGTAAAAACCAAATAATAAAGTTAACTTGTGCTGTTTTTACTTATGTTGGAATTTCTTATCATAAAGTAGAATATTATCATCGTAAGTCATGAGTTTTCATGTTAATTTTATTATGAATTACATCTGCGAAATCCAATAACTGTACTAATTAATCATATATAGGGGCCGGAAGTTTTGATGACCAGAAAGTTACGTTACCTAGTAACGAAAAATTTGTGAATTTGATTGTTTCACTACAGAGTAGAGATAGCTTGCACGAGAAATTAAGCGCACAATAATGAAAAATAATCATGGATTCAGATTCCTGGACCCCACAGAGCTTTGATCAAACTTTATCAAATTCGTTGCTTGTCTAAAAAAGTTTTTCTTTAGTAGAAAAATGAAATTCACAATTTTTTTGTTATTTCGTCACCCATTATTACCTAGTAACATAACTGTCTACTCATGCGAACTTTCACCTCCACATATAGCTAATTAGTGTAGCGAGTGACTTTTTCAGATGTAATTCATAATAAAATTAATGGAAATTCTCATGACTTATGATGATAGTATGTTACTTTATGATAAGGAATTCTGACATGAATAAAAACAGCACAAGTTAACTTCATTACTTTTTAGATAAAATTGATGTAAAATGTTAACCGTAGTATGTGAAAAGTAGCCAGGCGTTGAGGGTGTGAATGTTTATTAGTCTTATAGACTCTTCACTCATCATCAAAACTATGAGCGCATAGTATTCTCATCAAATAATGGAGTCTCGTTAAATGTTAATAGAAAACAAGCTGGACATCTAACATTATAGTTGTCGAAGAGGAGTTTTTTTTGGGAGCAACCTTTTTTCTGTTCACTAGTCTTGTAAATTGTCTGAAAAACAACTAAAAGAAAATTCTAAGTATTACGCATCCATAACATCCACTGAATTCTCTACAATTATTATTTCAAGTACATTTTACATGTTTTTTAGGAAATTATGTCGAAAAAATTTTACCATGGTGATCCTGATCGTGAGAATAAGTTTTGGGTTTATCCAAAGGGCAAAGAATTGATAACTCCCCGTTGGGATACTTACAATGCATCGGATATATGCGATAATTGTACGTTTCTCGAAACAGACTCAGAAACCGACATAAAGATATATCAATGCAACGGTCATGACAAGTGAGTAATAAGTACAATAAAAACACAACTTTCATTAAATTAAATCTGAACTATTCTTCTGGTTTTATAGTGCAGCAGGCAGTGGTGTTACTCAAGCTCGAATCCCTGCAAAGAGAAGAGTTGGATGATGTTAGGGGACAGGCGAAAGGCCTTCTTCACCCCTTAAAAAAAAGCCAAAATATTTATTTTTCTTGTTTTTTTCTCTAATATGTTATACTACTGTTTTATATGCATGTTTTTGGCTACAACTATTTGTGCTTTCGAATATTGATTCTTGTGTGGATCGCAAAACAAAATAATGATGGTTAAAATCGAAAGTTGTTTCCTCAATGGATTTTAACTTGAGAATAATTTTGTTGTTTTGCTTCTTCACAAGTATTCCATTCGGCTAAAATCTGTGTTTGCTAGTATGACGTATGGAGCTTACTAATATTTTATTCAATAAATTTTTGACACGTTTAATTCAACTCTAAAACATCATATCTGTTTCATGTCCGCATACTTTTGTTTTGCAGTAATCGTTTACATGTATTCAACATGCTTTGATTGCTAAGCGGATGTATACATCGATAACTAGAGAATAATCAGTATAGTAAGTTTTCTTTTTTTATATAATCTATAAGTGCAGACTTTTCCAACTGATATTATTAATGTATGAAAAAATTGTGTTTTTTATTAAGTATGAAAAAATCAAACGGAATGTATGCACTAGAAAGTAAATAGAGTCCTATTTGTACAATCTATCCAATGCAAAAATACTATTGAATCGACATCTCTTTCTTGTCAATCTCTAACAGTGATTCTGTTTGTTTATCATCAACACTGTCCATGTTCTCAGTTAGTGTTTGTGCAGCTGGTTCATCATCCTTGCCACATTTAACGTTCAATGAGTCACGACCTAATATTCCACTAAAATAGAGAATTCGATTGAACGATCGCTGATTTATCTACTAAGATAATAAGCAAGAGAAACAAGTTTGGTACATCTGTACTTACAAAGCTAGACCCATGCGATCAACTTCTTCAACTGTTTGCGGCAATAGTCTGTTTAATGTTTCAGGAAATAATAAAGCCATACATGCTACAATCAATGAAGCCATTCCGTAGAGTACAATGGGCAGATTGGCTGACACGCGTGCCTAACAAAGATTGATTCAATTTTTTATTAAAAGCGAAAATCATAGATGATTTTACTGACTAGATAATCATTACAGAATGTTCCCATAATTGCTTCGAAACGACCAACTGTTGAACAGTATCCTAATCCAGTTGTACGTGCATTTGTCGGGAATAAATCACTGGTAAGTAGATAGACAATAGCATATGTGATCGCGCCACAGAATCTCAAGAAGGCATTAATGGTAAACAGAATGATTCGATAAGCTAAAATGAGAATTTAAGTTAATATTAAATACTCATATACGTACTCGATTGTTCTGGTTTCGTGGAACTTCGAATAGGTATAATTAATATAGCTAAGATACCGAATGCTAGAGCAAATAAACAATAAGGTAATTTGCGTCCGACTCGATCGAGTATAACATGAAATATAATATATGCAAGCAGTTCTACCAATGCACCGACACAAAATGAAACATA